TGGGCCTCTTTACTTTCAGTGCAGCAAACTCACTCCAGAAGTTCAGTGAGGATCTATGAATGATCCAATGTTGTCCCAAATGACTGATGATAAATAGAATCCACCTGTGTGTAATCAAGTCTCTGTATAAATGCACCTGCTCTGTGATAGTCTCAGGGTTCTGTTCAAAGCGCAGAGAGCATCATGAAGCCCAAGGAACACACCAGGCAGGTCTGAGATACTGTTGTGGAGAAGTTTAAAGCCGGATTTGGATACAAAAATATTTCCCAAGCTTTAAACATCCCAAGGAGCACTGTGCAAGCAATCATATTGAAATGGAAGGAGTGTCAGATCACTGCAAATCTACCAAGACCCGGCCGTCCCTCTAAACTTTCATCTGGAACAAGGAGAAGACTGATCAGAGATGCAGCCAAGATGTCCATGATCACTCTGGATGAACTGCAGAGATCTACAGCTTAGGTGGGAGAGTCTGTCCATAGGATAACAATCAGTTGTACACTGCACAAATCTGGCCTTTATGGAAGAGTGGCAAGAAGAAAGCCATTTCTCAAAGATATCCATAAAAAGTGTTGTTTAAAGCTTGCCACAAGCACCTGGGAGACACCAAACATGTGGAAGAAGGTGCTCTGGTCAGATGAAACCAAAATCGAACTGTTTGGCCACAATGCAAAATGATATGTTTGAAGTAAAAGCAACACAGCTCATCACCCTGAACACACCATCCCCACTGTCAAACATGGTGGTGGCAGCATCATGGTTTGGGCCTGCTTTTTGTCAGCAGGGACAGGGAAGATGGTCAGAATTGATGGGAAGATGGATGGGGCCAAATACAGGAACATTCTGGAAGAAAACCTGTTTGAGTCTGCAAGAGACCTGAGACTGGGACGGAGATTTATCTTCCAACAAGACAATGATCCAAAACATAAAGACACATCTACAATGGAATGGTTCACAAATAAACGTATCCAGGTGTTGAAATGGCCAAGTCAAAGTCCAGACCTGAATCCAAACGAGAATCTGTGGAAAGAGCTGAAGACTGCTGTTCACAAATGCTCTCCATCCAACCTCACTGAGCTCGAGCTGTTTTGCAAGAAAGAATGGGCAAGAATTTCAGTGTCTCCATGTGCAAACCTGATAGAGACAAACCCCCAAGAGTCTTGCAGCTGGAATTGCAGCAAAAGGCAGCGCTACAAAGTATTAATGCAAGAGGGCCGAATAATATTGCATGCCCCACTTTTCAGTTTTTTATTTGTTAAAAAAGTTTGACACATCCAATAAATTTCATTCCACTTCACGATTGTGTCCCACTTGTTGTTGATTCTTCACAAAAAATTAAAATTTTATATCTTTATGTATGAAGCCTGAAATGTGGCAAAAGGTTGAAAAGTTCAAGGGGGCCGAATACTTTCGCAAGGCACTGTACTTATTTGCAGCAGTAACACACAAATAAATTATTTTAAAAATCATACATTGTGATTTCCGGATTTTTTTCAAATTTAGATTATGTCTCTCACAGTGGACATGCACCTAAGATGAAAATTTCAGACCCCTCCATGATTCTAAGTGGGAGAACTTGCAAAGTCACAGGATGTTCAAATACTTATTTTACTCACTGTAGCAGCCTTTACCAAAATTCCCTTCACAGCAGTATGCAAAGGTGTTTTAACCCTCGTTTATTGATCACCTATTGAATTGATTAATTTTTACAACAGGTCATCTTGATTCAATTTTCCCACCTTCATGACCAAAACACAACTCTCCTGCTTAAGATATCAGGCCATCAAAATGCTGAAAACAGCTCAACTCCCTGTGACTCAACTGTACAGGTGTTCAGTGGTGAGGAAAGCCACCCTCATTTCCAGGGCCGTGTCTCACCCACTGCACCCCCATGTTGCATTACTGGCATCAAGCAGACGATGCAGAACCTCAGGGACACGGAAAAACATTTAAAAAACATTTTTATCCCCTCTGCAATAAGTGTTTTAAATGACACATAATAGACTGAACTGCTTTTATTTGTTGTGTGAATGTACTTTTAGAAATGTTTTTAAATTATAGATAGTTTTATGCTTAAGACAAGTTCTGTTTTACTTTGGAACAGACAGTAAAGACTACCTAAAAATGTAGCTGTTGCTCTGCTGTAAACTTAGTGTTTACTGGTAAATGTTATTTCTGGATGCCTGTAGCAGACCGGGACTTTTTCCATCATGCTCATTTTCCACATCATGGAAGTCACAGTTCTGTGCACGTTGCTAACCTTGGTATCTGTGGATTTATCTCTGTTTTCTTCTTTCTTTTCTGATGTCAACATTTTATGCCCAACATTGTGTTGTGCAGTTATTGGAAAGTGTGATACAAGCAGTAACCCCATTAGCAGAACACCTTTAAGTTGGATGTGAGACACCTTCTTTCCCTCTCAGTGGTGGTTTAGTTGCACTCCACTCTTTGGGCTTTGCTACACTAGCTTAATTAATTCAAGGATTCAAGGTTCTTTATTTGTCATTCATGTGATACATGAGGTGGAACGAAATTGTGTACACAGGGTCCCAATTATATCCAACAAAAGTATAAAATTTAAAAGAAAAACAGTAATAAGATCTAAGATATGAACTAAGAAAAATGTTAACTAAAAATACACTAAGCACTAATAGCATAAAAACAATATGCCGAACAGCAGCACGAACATGAGTCTGTGTGAGCAGATGAGTACGAATGAACACAGCAGCATGAAACAGATCAGCAGCAACATGAAACAGATCAGCAGCAACATGAAACAGATCAGCAGCAACATGAAACGGATCAGCAGCAACATGATGTGGTTTTTCAAAGTGATTATTCTGGTTAGAGATTTATGAGTCTAACAGCCTCAGGGTAGAAGCTGTTGCTCAGTCTAGTGGTTCTACACTTAATGCTCCTTAACCTCCTTCCTGATGGGAGCAGGGCAAAAAGTGAGCGTGCTGGGTGTGTGGGGTCTTTCATGATGCAGGTGACCCTCTTCCTGCATCTACAGGTCCTTCTAAAAAAATTAGCATATTGTGATAAAGGTCATTATTTTCCATAATGTAATGATAAAAATGAAACTTTCATATATTTCAGATTCATTGCACACCAACTGAAATATTTCAGGTCTTTAATTGTTTTAATACTGATGATTATGGCATACAGCTCATGAAAACCCAAAATGCCTGTCCCAAAAAATTAGCATATCATGAAAAGGTTCTCTAAACGAGCTATTAACCTAACCATCTGAATCAACGACGTAACTCTAAACACCTGCAAAAGATTCCTGAGGCTTGTAAAAACTCCCAGCCTTGTTCATTACTCAAAACCGCAATCATGGGTAAGACTGCCGACCTGACTGCTGTCCTGAAGGCCATCATTGACGCCCTCAAGCAAGAGGGTAAGACACAGAAAGAAATTGCTGAACGAATAGGCTGTTCCCAGAGTGCTGTATCAAGGCACCTCAGTGGGAAGTCTGTGGGAAGGGAAAAGTGTGGCAGAAAACGCTGCACAAAGAGAAGAGGTGACCGGACCCTGAGGAGGATTGTGGAGAAGGGCCGATTCCAGACCTTGGGGGACCTGCGGAAGCAGTGGACTGAGTCTGGAGTAGAAACATCCAGAGCCACCGTGCACAGGCGTGTGCAGGAAATGGGCTACAGGTGCCGCATTCCCCAGGTCAAGCCACTTTTGAACCAGAAACAGCGGCAGAAGCGCCTGACCTGGGCTACAGAGAAGCAGCACTGGACTGTTGCTCAGTGGTCCAAAGTACTTTTTTCGGATGAAAGCAAATTATGCATGTCATTTGGAAATCAAGGTGCCAGAGTCTGGAGGAAGACTGGGGAGAAGGAAATGCCAAAATGCCAGATGTCCAGTGTGAAGCACCCACAGTCAGTGATGGTCTGGGGTGCCATGTCAGCGGCTGGTGTTGGTCCACTGTGTTTTATCAAGGGCAGGGTCAATGCAGCTAGCTATCAGGAGATTTTGGAGCACTTCATGCTTCCATCTGCCGAAAAGCTTTATGGAGATGAAGATTTCATTTTTCAGCACGACCTGGCACCTGCTCACAGTGCCAAAACCACTGGTAAATGGTTTACTGACCATGGTATTACTGTGCTCAATTGGCCTGCCAACTCTCCTGACCTGAACCCCATAGAGAACCTGTGGGATATTGTGAAGAGAAAGTTGAGAGACGCAAGACCCAACACTCTGGATAAGCTTAAGGTCGCTATCGAAGCATCCTGGGCCTCCATAACACCTCAGCAGTGCCACAGGCTGATTGCCTCCATGCCACGCTGCATTGAAGCAGTCATTCATGCAAAAGGATTCCCGACAAGTATTGAGTGCATAATTGAACATGATTATTTGAAGGTTGGCGTTTTTTGTATTAAAAACACTTGTCTTTCATTGGTGGGATGAAATATGCTAATTTTTTGGGACAGGCATTTTGGGTTTTCATGAGCTGTATGCCATAATCATCAGTATTAAAACAATTAAAGACCTGAAATATTTCAGTTGGTGTGCAATGAATCTGAAATATATGAAAGTTTCATTTTTATCATTACATTATGGAAAATAATGACCTTTATCACAATGTGCTAATTTTTTTAGAAGGACCTGTAGAGGTGTAGATGTCTGTGATGGTGGAGAGGCTGACTCCAACAGACTTCCATGTGGGTCAGTCAACTTGATTGGTGATAAAAGAACAGCAGTTTAAGTGTGTGTGTGTGTGTGTGTGGGGGGGGGGGGGCTCATCTTTGTGGGCATATCTCAGAAAGGTTTTACTAAAGGAGCTGCAGAGACACGTGAAAGGTTTCTGGCTGGATGAACTGAGGTGGTCTGAGCCCTACATCATGGAGGCACTTGTAAAATCTTCAACAAAAGAAGCACCAACAATTCCATGAAATATATTTAAATGTTTATTTGATGTCCTTGTCAGCATGAGGTGTTCTGTGTAAAGACTCAAGCAGTCATTAAGGCTGTCCTCTCCTTCTCTGTGCCAGGTGTCTGTCCTTGTGATTTGCCACACACGAGAGTTGGCCTTCCAGATCAGCAAAGAGTATGAGCGTTTTTCCAAGTACATGCCCAGCGTCAAGGTTTCTGTGTTCTTTGGTGGCCTGGCCATCAAGAAGAACGAGGAAGTCCTGAAGAAGAACTGCCCTCACATTGTTGTTGGAACTCCAGGGCGTATCCTGGCCCTAATTCGAAACAAGACCCTCAGCGTGAAGAACATCAAACACTTTGTGCTCGATGAGTGCGATAAGATACTGGAGCAGCTGGGTGAGTAAATGACTCCGTCAGCCAGTAGTTGCTTTAATGAAGGACTGGGACTAGTGTCCGCGACTAGGATGAGTCTGACATAAAACTGACAGATCTGAGAGGGACGTTATTAAAGACTATGAGCATTTTAGGTGTTTTTGTATGTGCAGAGAATGATACAATTATTGAGTGAAACCTTTTTCTCTCAGACATGAGGCACGACGTTCAGGAAATCTTCCGACTGACGCCCCACGAGAAGCAGGTCATGATGTTCAGTGCAACTTTAAGCAAGGAGATCCGCCCCGTCTGCCGCAAGTTCATGCAAGACGTGAGTTGTTCTGTGTTACAAATTACTCCCACTTGGTGCACTCGTTTATTTGTTCAAGATTACAGGCTTACGTTTGAAAAGCATATACTCTTTTGGAAATGTGTAATTAGTGTAGTGAGATAGGGCTAGGTTAGCTTCAGTTAGCTTCAAACTATTTTTCCATTCCTAACTTAATAATAATAATTAAACTTAGTAACTAAAGATACTGACAATAAGTTTTATTTTAAAGTAAAATTCCGTAATTTCTGGACTATTGAGCACACCCGAATATAAGCCACACCCACAGAAAATAAATAAATTATATATATACACAAACCGGATTCCAAAAAAGTTGGGACACTAAAAAAATTGTGAATAAAAACTGAATGCAATGATGTGGAGGTGCCAACATCTACAAACCGGGTTCCAAAAAAGTTGGGACACTAAACGAGTTGTGAATAAAAACTGAGTGCAATGATGTGGAGGTGCCAACATCTAATATTTTATTCAGAATAGAACACAAATCACAGATCTAAAGTTTAAACTGAGAGAATGTATCATTTTAAGGGAAAAATCTGTTGTTTCCAAATTTCATGGCGTCAACAAATCCCAAAAAAGTTGGGACAAGTCCATTTTTACCACTGTGTGGCATCCCCCCTTCTTCTTACAACACTCAACAGATGTCTGGGGACAGAGGAG